CTTTCTTTCTTTCTTACTGAAGTACAGTCAATTACAATGTGTCAGTCTCTGGTGTACAGCACAATGTCCCAGTCATGCACATACATACATATATTTGTTTTCATATTTTTTTCCATTAAAGGTTATTACAAGATACTGAACATAGTTCCCTGTGCTATACAAAAGAAACTTTTTTTAAAAATCTATTTTTATATATAGTGGCTAACATTTATAAATCTCAAACTCCCAAATTTATCCCTTCCTACCCCCTTTCCCCAGTAACCATAAGATTGTTTACTAAGTCTGCAAGTCTGTTTCTGTTTAGTAGATGAGTTCATAGTGTCCTTTTTTTCAGATTCTGAACAGACTCTTCATAATAGAAGATACACTAATGGTCAGTAAGCACATGAAAAAATGTTCAATGCCTTTGATTATCAGATAAATGTATATTAAAATTACCCTCCATTACAAAAACTAAAATTAAAATAGACTAGCAAAGGGAGAGTAGGTATAGTTCAAGTGGTAGAGTGCATGCTTAGCATACACAAGGTCCTGGGTTCAATCCCTAGTACCACCTCTAAAGTAAATAAATTAATTAAATAAATAAGTAAACCTAATTACCTCCCCCCTAAAACAAAACGAAAAACATTTTTTAATGGTCTAGCAAAATCAAACATTGGTGAGAAGTCCTATGCCCAGCTAGAATTCTCATACATTGCTGGTAGGAATGTAAAATGATACAATCTGGTTGGAAAAACATTTCACAGTTTCTTATAAAGTCAAGCAAAAATCACCTCTATGACCCAGCTGTTCTGCATCTTGGTATGTATCCAAAAGAAATGAAAAAAATATACCCACAAAATGATTTGTACATGAATCTACATGGCAGTCTTATTCATACTAACCCAACTGAAATGTCCATCAATAGGTGAATGGATAAATATTGTGATATAGTCATAAATGGAATACTGCTGAGCAAGAGGAAAGTACAAACAATTGATACGTGCAAAACATGGAATAATCTTAAAAAACATTATATTCAGCAAAACAAGCCGTTCATACTGTAGTACATAGTGTAGAGCTCTGTTTATGTGAACTTGGAAAACAAACAAAACTAATGTATGAGAGTAAAATCAGAAAGTGGTTGCCTTTGGTTGAGGAGTAGACTGGAAAGGGGCCTGAGGGAACGGTATGTCCCCGTACAGTCGAGACACTCCAGAGTTAAATGTCCATTTTATAGCTGTGGAAACTGAGGCTCATGAAATTAAAATATTGAGGTAGCCGGGAGTAGAAGGATTAAAGGGTTGTGGGAATGTGAGCTGAAGGACTAGAGGTGGAAGAGGAGGTAAGGCTGGATTTTGGGGAGATGGGGGTGGCATAGAAAAGGTAAGGGAGCATGTCCCCCAAGACCCTCAGCCCCTCCCCCCACAAAGTCTTGCCTCTGTAGACACAACTCTTCAATCATGCCTGTCAAAAGTGGGTCTTCAACAAATGATGAATGGGTGAATAAACGAATGAATAAAAAGAGACACAAAGAGTTTATTATTGTATTGGAAAGAGTACAAAGAAAGAAACAAGTCCTTCTCGGACCTTGATGGCCTCAGCTGCTCTCAGTTACCCTACATTCAACAAATCTGGAAGGTCCTTCAGGTCTCCCCAGGTCTGAACAGCCATGGAGGGAGAGGGGGCCCTTGGCCCAATCTCTGGGGATGCAGGCTCAAGACAGAGCCACTGCCATTCCGAGTCTGTGCTCACCTGTCCACAGGTCTACAGATCTCAGTCCGTGGAGTTCCCTGCTGGGGACATGCATGTCAGGACTCCTTGACTCAGAACTATGTCTGGGAATGTGGGGAGAGGAGCCCTGGTCCCAGGCTTTGCAGGCAGAGAAGAACTTGGTGATGTCATCTGGGCAGTGAGGGTACCCTGATCTCTAGATATGGCAGGACCAAGATTGAGGTGTCATCAGCGCCCAGAAGGTTGTCTGTGCCAGAGAAAGGTGAATTGTGAGTAAGTTCCCTCCCAGGGCCCACCCCGCACATCTAAGACATGGGAGCCCCTCACCCCCAAACCAGGCCCTGGCCCCTGATTATGGCTGTTGAATTGGGCAACAATAGGGGGCTGGCTGTTGGGAAGGGAAGGCATATCCTCTTGGTTGGGGAGCTGAACAAGGGTCATGGTCCCTTACCTGGGTCAGGGGACAGTGACGCCGTGCGTACCACTCCTGGCAGTACAGGCTGACCTGGATGCCCTGGCCCAGAAAGAGCAGGGTCCACATGAGCACGTTCCACGCTGGGCCCGTGTGCTGGTCATGCATCATGAAGTTCAGCAACCCTGATGCAGAAGGAAAGGATGCCAGCTCCAGATACCTGTATCTTGTCTTCCTGGCTGCCTTCCCATCTCGGCACAAGGAAGAGTTGGAACAGGAAGGCACCATCGGGGAAGATCTTGATCCCAGCTCCAGAAACCCACAGAGGTCTCAAGTGGCTCATGTAAAACCAGGATTCCTCAGTTTACATGTCAGTATCCTGGATCTCTTACTAAACCTCCCAACCTCACACCAGTTTTCACCCTTTTGTCTCCTTCTGTGTGTGCCCTGCTCAGATGCTCCTCTCTGGCCAGAAATCTTTTCCCACATCCCCCAGTATACCTCCTGGCTGCCTCCTGATGCTGCCTCCTTCCCTGCTCCCAAGTCTCCCCTACATCCCGGCCCCCAACTCTCACGCCTTCCTCCAGAAGGCACGTACAACCCACTTCTGTCTTGGGCACACAGCCTCCCCCATCAGTCTAGAATCTGCAGGAGCAGGACTCCAGGCCTGCTCCCTCTGGAGTCTCCCCGCTCCAGTGGCACACAGAGGCCAGGCTTACCTCCGATGACAAGGAACAGCATCAGCATGACGGGGTAGAAGAATCCCAGGACGAAGCAGAAGATGTACTCATGGACCACCGCAGAGACCAGGAACACGCCCAGCATGGCTGCCCCTCGGGCCCGGCCACTAAGGAGCTGGCAGGGGTCAGGGGAGGAGGGTGGAGTGAGTCTCCCTAAGCTCCCTCCACAAAAAATTCCCCTCCGTAAGGGAGCCGGGGGGGTGTGTAGTACAATAGAAAGAACATGGGATTTGGGGCCAGAAGGGCTGACATGTCTTATTTAAGAGCATTTTATTAGTCCATTGGGCCTTAGATGCAGTTTTTTAGTTTGTTGTTTGGGGTTTTTTTTGGGGGGGAAGGTAATTAGGTTTATTTATTTGTGTATTTATTTGTTTGAATTTAATTTTTTTAACGGAGGTACTGGGGATTGAACCCAGGACCTTGTGCAGCTAAGCACGTGCTCTAGCACTGAGCTACACTTTCCCCACTAGATGCAATTTTTAAAAGGGGATATGATAATACTTACTTCTCAGGGTTACTGTGCAGATTGCGTAGCATGTGAGAATTCTTGGTAACTGAAAATTGCTATAGGCATATTCCATAATGGAAGGCTAAGGAGGGGAGAAATGCCCTATGGGGGGGTGTAGTTGACGATAAGGAAGAAAGGAAGTTAGATAATAAGAAGGACTTTCTGCCCAGCCCATTGGGTTGTGTAGAATGAGGGCAGACAGAAGTCACAGGGGCTTCTAGGTCTGGAAAATGGAAGGAGAGGACATCGCAGAGAGGTGGAGAGGTTCCGTTAGCTGTGGGCGCTGAGGGGGTCGGCAGAGCCCATACCCACAGCCCGTCCTGATACACGTAGCTGTACAGCCAGTCATGGACCACGACGTTCCAAGTGCGGTAGTAGTTGGAGAAGGATGTCGAGTTCCACCAGTCCTGGGAAGGGGTGGGGCCAGGGGAGGGGGAGGTGAGCCTCAGGGCCATCTGTGCCCAGGCCCCAGCTTCTCCCCCCTGCTTCCTGCACCCCGTCTCTACAAGGGCTGGCTCCTGGCAGGAGAGAGACAGCAAGCACCCTCCTAACTCCCTCTTCGGGACCCGGGGTCCCCACCATCCCTCCGACTCTCCTTCTCAGGAGAAGATTCCAAATTACCATCCCCACAAAAGCAGTTAGCCCTGGCCGGCCAGGCGGTGAGGGGTGATCTTATAACCACACTCAGGGGAGCACATTTCTCATTGTGAGAGACTGACAGCACAGCTGAGGTTGAAACCATGCCCCATAGGGTTAACAGAAACCGGTGACTGCCGGAGATTCCTAGCTTGTCTTACAGAACAGCAGATGAGGGAACAGCTTGTTGAAAACCCTTCTGCTGATAACCTCCCTTCACTGACCAAGCTTGCCTTTATTTTTTTTCCAACTCCTTAACTGGCCCCTATAGATAACCCCTCAGATGTATGTGTCACTATAGTAACAGGGGGCATACGTTCTCCGGAAACTTGGAGTTGGCTCCTGTCTAGTTCAAGTCAGCTAAGACTGGTTGGAACCACTGACCCTAAAACTGGGCCTGTGCAGGTGTCTGATGAACGACCTTTTGACATCAGAGGGCTGAAAACTCCACCTGATACATGCCTCCATTTTTTAACACGCATCCCATGAAGAAGCATGTGACACTCAGACCACTGATGACCTCACCTTTTCTCCACTTCAATCACTTTTCCCCACACCTGAGACCACCTTGCTTCTTCATCTCATAAGTAACTCAAGCCTCTGGCCTTTGGAGAGGCAAATCTGATATTGTTCTCTCTCCTCCTTACTTGGCTGCCTCCTCACTTTCTCTGCTGCAAACCTTGGCATCTCAGTGTTTGGCGTGTTGGGCGGTTGCACCTGGTTTGGTAACAAGGTGACAGCCCACGTAGCCACCATCCTCCCTGCATCCTTCCCTAGCCCTTGCTGCATCCAGCTCCCCAAGTGGTCCCGGTCCAGGCCGCACCCGATAGAACATCCTGTCTCCAAATCGTAGCATCTCCGCGAAGGCGTTGAGCCAGCAGTGGAGGAAGGCAAAGAAGATGAGCAGCAGCATGAAAATGCCTGGTGAGTGGAGACAAGGGGCTGCAGGTAAGACTGGCCCCCCTGGGCCCCCACGAAGCTCTGAGAGCCCCCTCAGGAAGCTCTCACCCAGCAACCAGGGCCCTGGTTCCTATCATTTGTTAATCATGCACCAACTGATGCCTTCATTCATTCAATCCATTTGCTCCTGAAGCCCGTGCCAGCTGTTGGGGATATAGCGATGAATGTCAAAGCCACTGGCCATTGGGAGTTGATAGAGTGGTTGGAAGGTGGGGAGTGGATGGCAATCTGAACTGAGACCCTGACGACGAGCAACTGTAGGAGGGGACAGATGCCAGAGGAGAGTCAGAGTGAGGTGTTGAAACGAAGAGTGAGGGAAGGGAGGAGTTCCCTGCTAAGCCTTCCCCAGGGTGCAGCCCCACCTCTGGTGGGCGTACCTGGCAAGGTGGCGTGCATGATGGAGAGTACCAGGGCACGGGTGCTGAAGGGCTCCCGGCTCATGTTGGCGAAGATGGGAACACAGAGGCGGCTCAGGATGAAGCACGCATAGAGCACGCAGCCCAGGGCCTGGGGAGGGGATGGAGGACAAAACTTTGAAAGGAGTCACTGGCAGCTGCCCTTTCCTTCTAGAATTAGGCTCTGGCCCAGCATCTGCCTCCTCTTCCCTGAGTACCACCCTCTGACCTCTTCCCCAGCCTCCCCTACTTCACTCCCAGAGATGCCCCCTCAGCCACCACGAGTCACGAGTAGTCCACCCTTCGACCCCACCTTCTGACCTGGGCAAAGTTCTTGGCCACATAATTCCACCTGATGCTGGGTGTCCTGCAGCAGCAATGGGAATAATGTGTATTTCATCCTTTTATCTTGTTCTTGCCCAGGCTGGGGCCCAGGATCTGGGGCCCTCTCTCCACAACTCCCTCAATTGCTAGGGCCTGGGAGGATTATCTGGGGAGGTGGGGGTCTAGAACGCTCTGGACCTTCCATAACAAAGATGACAAATGGATTTTAAGCTTGAGTGTCCACTAAGGTGACCGGCTACCTGGAGTTTGCCCTAGGCTCAGGGGTTTCCCAGGATGTAGGATTTTCAGTGCTAAAATTGGGGCAGTCCTGGGTGAACCAGGACAGTCAGTCACCCTTGTGTCACCATGGCCTGGGGAAGGAGGAGGGGTAGTCTACCTGCCACTTCTTCCGCATATTTATTATGGGATGCTTCCTGAGGGAGTGACCAGGGGCTGGGATGAGGCTAAAGACCTCAGGGAGAGGAGGGTAGAAGGGCTAGGTCCCTGATGGGCCTGGGCATTTGGGGAAGGGGGTGCAGGGTCTTACCTGGGGTAAGTCTCCCTGTAGATGAGTGTGGGGCAGAAGAGGAAATAGAGGTAGCTGGAGAAACTAGGGGCCCGGATGCCCTCACCTGGGGAGGAGTAAGAGGAGTCCATCAGTGAAGGGGGAAGGGAGAGAGGACACAGGTGGGAGGGATGCTGGGCATAGGGAGTGGGGCTGATGAATAGAGCAGATAGGACAGAGGTTGGGGAGATGGATGAGAAGCTAGAGATGGAATCTGAAGGTCGGGTAGGGGATATGAAACCTAGCAAGAGCTGGACCTGCTAATACCCCTCTTTTGCTTCCATTCCAGGCACCACATTTGGCGGCGCAGACCTGTGGTTGCCAGAGTTTCATTTGGCACCCACAAATTGCATCACCCATTCACTCTTTCCTCCTGTTTTGACTTCCTAATCCAAGGCTCTCATACCCTGGGTCTTTCCAGGCTAGACCTGGAAATAAGGATGTGTCAGAAGTCCTGGGCAGCAGAGTTGCCATCTCTCGGAGGTAGGACCTAAGAGAACGCCAAAGCTGTGCCCCGAGGGCAAGATGGTCTTACAAAGTTGGAGCTTCTATGAGGATCTTGCACCTGCTGGCTTCATTCAACCAACCAAGAGGACTGAGTTCCCATCTGGGCCAGCCAAGGGCCTCACCTCTGGCGTGAAGCGTCCCAGGCACAGTCTCTCTAAGGAAGGAGTAGCTTTTCATCAGGAACCTGACCTGAGATGGAATGGAAAAGAAGGTAAGGTGCTGTGTTGCTTTGAGCAGATCACTTAACCTCTCTGGTTCTCGACAAGGGGAGAGGGGCGGGCAGATTGTAAAATCTGTACGGTCAAAGCCCATACTTTATCATTTAGTCAGGCGGTCTTATAGTCTAACACAAATGGCTGCTGGCATGAATCGAGGGTAGAGGGGTACTGGAAAGGGAGCTTCCAGCCAGCCAACACCTTGTGACTCTGCGGAATCTGATTCTATTTGTGTAGCATTCGTCCTTTCATTTACATTTCTTTGAAGCCTGCTTGATCACTCAAATACCTTGCAAAGAACTCCGCCCCAGTAACTAACTCCGCCCCCACCAATACATTATCAAATGCCCTCCTTCCCAGCGGCCCCGCCTCACCATTGGTCCTGCCCATCACCTGCTCAAAGACCAGGACACAGCGGGACGCTGGCGGGAGCTCATACTCCACCGCTACGTGGACCGGGAGGATGCCGAGCACCGCGGTGTGCGCGGCCAGCAGCAAGCAGCCGAGGCCCACCCGTAGCATCCAGGCCACTCCGGCCTGAGACCTCACCCACAGCCGCAGCGCCTGGTAGGGCGCCAGCAGAGTGGACAGGAACATGGGGACCCATGTCACCAGCGCCAAGGGCAGCTGTCCGAAGCTGAAGATCAGTAGGTCAAACTCCAGCATCAGCCTTGGAGTGGGGATGGAGAGACAAAGTAGACAAATGTGAGGCCCACCCTTGTCCCCTTCCTCTGCAGCCGGAGCTCTTAGAAGATAAACTGAGGCATCTTGCCAAGGTTGTGAGCTCCCCATCTCTGAAGGTGTTCAAGGTGAGGTCCCCACCTCTGCTGCTCAGGACTTCTAGCACAGCGTGTTGCCCAAGGAGACTCAGTCGTGGGATGGCTTTACTTCCAAATGACCTGTAGAGCCCTTTGTGAATTGTATGGCGTTGCAGAAGGGTTCAGTACTTCACTGATCACTGGTGTTAGGATATGAGGTATTTAAAGTTTAACTCTGATTTTTGTAACTTTTGTCATTTTGGAGTGCTGGAGCTGTAGACTTGAGTTAATAGAAAGGTTGCTGAGTGTTTTGTTTGTTTAGATTAGGAGTGGTTTGTAATGATGAAAAATTAGGAACAATCTTAATGGCCATTAGTAAAGGATTAAATGAACAAAAGCAGGCACTTCCAGACTCTGCAGTCATTAAAAACAATGGACTGACATAGAAAGATCTCTAAGACAGGTCATTTGGAAATGAAAAGGAGACAATAGGTACTGTAAGTATCTCATTAATGTAACCCCCCACAAAATACATCTCCTTGGTTCTTATACATATCTGGACTTTAACTCATGAAAAATGCTCTGGAGGGAAACTCTCAAAACCATTAACAATGTTACCTCTGGGGGGCAATCTGAGATGGTTGGGGGGGAACTGTCACTTCCATATATTTGAAACTTTTTCTGATCCTTGTAATACTCACGTAATTAACAACAACAATTTTACCAAAAGGCAGTGCTGTTGCTGAACCTGCAGATCCTTGGTTCTCTTCCTTTTACTGCTTCCCAAGCCATGTGTAGGGTGAGGAGAGGGTCATGCAAATCCAGACACCCCCAGGGGTTTCCAGCCCTCTGAGGCTCTTCCCCAGAGTGGGGAGGGGCTCTGTAGGGGAAGCGACCCTCCAAGGCACTTGTGTGTGTGTGTGTGTGTGTGTGTCTGTCTTTCCCACAAGACTGGGAGTGCCTTGCAGGCAGGGCTGGAGTTGGTCTCATCTCTCTGGCCCAGGGGCTGGTACTTAGAAGGGGCTCAATGGAGGTTACCTGAACTGAACAGCACTGCCATGTAAAGGAGTGTGTGCTTGTGTGTGTGTGTGTATACACATTATGTCTGCTTCAGGACAACGGTCCAATTGGGAATTATTTGAGTAGGGGCGTAGTGTCCCCAGAGGGCTGACCCTGGGAAACTAGACCAAAGGCCACCCAAGGCTATGGAAGGAAGAAGTCTAAGAGGGTATTTTGGGTGGGAAGGTTGTTGGAAGCAATGTTGACATATGTCCAGTTATCAGAGGGGCCCTGTGCTCAGGCTGGTGTCAGGTGGAGCACTTGGGGACACAGGGGTCTGATCTGATCTGTGCGCTTATCCCGGGCGAGAGGGATGCCTACCTGCCCTCATCGATGAAGTCTATGGCCAGGGTGGTGATGATGAAGACACACAGGCCGGCGATGAACATGTGGTAGATGGTGCGGAAGTGCTGCACCTCCATCAGCTCGCTAGAGGGATGGGGGCATGAATGTCAGTGGGAGAGTCCTCAAGGTCGTGCAGACTAGCTCAGGCACTGTACGCACGTGGAGATGGGGCGTAGTGATTGGCAACTAGCAGCCTAAGGCTGAAATATGGCTGGGACTTCTGTCCAAAGCCCTTTTCAGCCCAGACACGTATCCTGGTGGCCTTTCTTCCACAATCATACCCAGGGCAAATGGAGAAACGGAACCTTAGAAACTGTCTCGAAGTCCTCCCCCAAACCACCTAGAGCCTGAAGATGAGAAATGAGGTGTGCTGGACCCCTGGCCAAAGCACTTTTTTTTCTTCCCATTCCATGTCCTCACCCCTGACTTACTCAAGCAGAGACTTGCGGATGATGAAAACTTTCCGTTTCCCCAGGGATGGCTTCCGGGTCCTGAATTGAGA